AAGGCAGGTTCCATACTGCGCTTCTTGTTTGCATACGCGGCAGATCGTTCATTTAAGAATTAGATGTCTGTCGTGAGTTGTTCATGGAACGATTTGAGTTGTTCCACGGCGATCATAGCTTGTTCTGCTCTTGATTCATCCAGTCGTGGTTGTCTATATGCCTCTGGCTGATAGCCGTAATTGGCAAAGAATGGTGAGACTTTTGTTGCTTCGGTCATCGCGCTGTTATATGCGAACTGTGCGATGGGTAATATCTGAACCCAATTGTCTTGTTGGTGGTTGACATAACTCCATAGGTATTGTTCAAGGGTTTGATTCAGTCTTTCTGTTTGACCATCTGTTTGGGGATGGAAAGCTGTTGATAGCTTATGATTTGTTCCCAGAAGTGCCATTAAAGATTTCCAAAATTTCGAAGTAAAAAGCTTGTCTCTGTCTGAGATGATTTCTTCCGGTAATCCGTGATCAGCTAATATGACTCGAAGGAAGGTGTATGCAAGTGCTTCAGCATCGCTAGCTTCTAAATATGGCACAAATATTCCATATTTGTGAGTCTTTCCGTAATAACCAGGATAGCGTCAAATACTACTCCTGTTAACGGGTCCTGAGAGGGTGGTAGCTTGACGAGAAGTCCAAAGCTATAGATTTCCATGCTCCCTTTGGTACTGGTGTCGACTTGAGCTGTCCATATGGCAAGTGCCTATTGGATTTTGATTTGCTGCAAATGTCGCACTCTCTTATTACCGTTTCCACCTGCTTCCTAATACCTGGGAAGTAGTAGTGTCAGGTGATTCGTTCGAAGGTGTGTGTTACTCCCTGATTGCCGTGTGCTGGTAGCGAGTGTTGTTCTTGCACTAGCGGGCATCTCATTTTGTTTGGGACATACACTAATCCTCTGAATCGGATCAATCCTTGTTCATCGATGGAGAAGTCTTTCGGTTTTTATTAAGACTCGCTTTGCACATTCGTCTGTTGAATAAGCTTTCTTGAGTCTTTCTTCCAACTCCGAGTTCTCCACAGTGGCAATTGTGGCTAGCAACTCGTTGTATTGCATTCCTGCATCAGTCTTCTTCAATATGGCTATAGGTCTTTCCTCTTTAGGGCCGATGTAGTCAGTCCTTCTGCTAAGGGCATTGGCTCTTGCATTCTCAGAGCCCCTGCGATATGTAATCGTGAAGTTGTAGGCTGCGAGTGTCTCTGCCCATCGGACTTGTCTGCGGTTTAAAACCTTGGTTGTGGTGAAGTATATGAGATTCTTATGATCCGTCCATACCTGTACTGGGTAGGTTGATCCTTCAAGATATACTCGCCATTGCTCAAAAGCAACGACAATAGCTATCAGCTCCTTGTCATGGATGTCATAGTTGAGCTCCGCGGGTGACAGTTTTCTAGAGTAATATGCAACTGGCTTAAGTTTCTCGTCCTTATCTGGCTGACTTAGACAGGCTCCAATTGCGAAGTCAGAGGAGTCTGTTTCGAGGACAAACCTCTTTGCAGGGTCGAATGTGACTAGGATAGGTGCTTCTGTGAACTTCGTCTTAAGTTCCTGAAAAGCAGCCTCTGCCTTGCTTGTCCATTCGAATGTAAGGTCTTTCCTTGTAAGCTCTGTAAGTGGTTGAGCTACCTTGGAATATCCCATAATAAACCTCCGGTAGAAGTTGGCAAAGCCTAAGAAGGCTTGTACTTCTTTGACCGTGGTTGGTGTTGGCCATTCCAACACTGCTGTGACCTTGGCTTGGTCCATTTTGATGCCATGCATTCCGACAATGTAGCCTAAGAATTCTACTTGATCCTTGTGGAATTCGCATTTTTCTGGCTTGAGTAGTAACTGATGCTCCTTTAACTTCTGTAATACATTCCGAACATGACCAATGTGTTCCGTTGGGTCTCCTGAGTAGACTAAGATATCGTCTAGGTAGACAATAACAAACACATCGAAGTATTCATGGAGAGCTGCATTCATAGCCTCTGCATGGATGCTGGTGCATTTGTTAGACCAAAGGGCATAACCAAATATTTGAACAAGCCATAGCGGGTGCGGAATGCTGTTTTCCACTCATCCCCTTTCTTGATTCGAATCAGGTTATAGGCGCCTCTGAGGTCCAGCTTGGTAAATATCTTGGCTCCCTGGAACTGGTCGTGTAGTTCGTTTATCAAAGGTAAAGCATATCTATCTTTGATAGTGACATTATTCGTTCCTCGATAGTCCATGCAGAGTCTTAGCTTCTTGTCCTTCTTTGGCACAAATAGTATTGGACTTCGTGCTGGTGATGTCGATGGTCGAATGAACCGTTTCGCGAGGTTTTCGTCAATGTATTCCTTCAGTACGTCCAGCTCTGCTGCTGACATCTGATATATTGGTCCGAACGGTGGACTCTTTCCTTCCATGATAGGTATCTCATGATCCCATGGTTGGTGCTTAGGAAGCGCCTCTTCGTTAGGGCCTTCCTGGAATAACTGCTCATATTCCTTATACTCCACTGGTATTTGCTTCAATGAGAGCCTGGGCTACGTCATCAGACTCGGTGGTCGCACATAACTCCTTCCGGTCTTTGGAGGTTTTTTCCTTCTACAGCATGTCCGTTCGCTGTTCACACACGCACTGGCTCATCACAACTTTCTCACTCCGCCAGTCAATCTGGGGGTTGTGTTTCTTGAGCCACGGTACACCAAGTATGCATGCATGATTGTCCATGTGCACGATATCAAACTGTATCGTTTCCTTGTGTCCGCGTAGCATGACCATTTCTAATGGGACCGTCTCGTGGGTCACCATTCGGTTGTTAGTTGAGATGGGCTCTCCATCTACAACCATTAATGGGTATGGATCGGTCTTCAGTTGCGTCCTGAACCTGTGTGTGTCTGCTACTTTCTTTGTCATAAAGTTGCCCGTTGCTCCTGAGTCTATCATAGCTTGGAGGTGTTGCTGTTGTATCTTAGCAACCACATATAGCTGCATGCTGCCCGTTGTGGCGCATAGCTGGTTTGTACTAAGCCTCTTTGTGTCGCTCGCCAGTGGCCTACTGCCGAGGACTCCTAGTTTTTTGAATTGTCTGAGGAATAACCGTCTGAGGAAAATCCATCATGTTCACCATATTCTAATGGTCATAGAACTGGTACCCTTTCTCTTCTTCATTCGTTCATGTGCTTCTAACACTCGTGTCCCCTTTCTTCTCTTGGGATGCTTTCCTGCTGGTGAGGGTATTCTGGTCGGCTACTCACTGTGCAAACTGCAACCTCCCAGTATTGTGTAGTGTCCTGCCAGCTCATTGGTGGCTTGGGCACAGGATTTCTTTGATCGACCGTCTCCTGAAGCATGGCTTCCTTGAAGTTTTTACTGCTCCTGGCAGTTGTTCCTTGAAGAGAGTCTTACTTGCTGTCTTCTCAAATGCTTGTAACCAGTGCTTTTGAGAACTAGTGAGCTCCTTGTAGTCGTTCTTGTCTTCTCTGTTTGACAAGTGGAATTCCTCGAGATCCTGAGTAGTAATACTCCAGTTCTCTTTTCCCTTCAACGTGGCACATAGCTGTCCTCGTGGGGCCTTGCACCCGCCTTGACCTTGCCAAGTAGCGTTAAGCTGTTTGCAATACTTTCGTCCTCCATTCCCTTTCTTTGACTGTCTGCAGTTTCGCGCTATGTGTCCAGGCTTATTGCAGTTGAAGCAGAGCCGTTCTTGGAACTGTCACTCCTTGTTGGGATTGTGGGGTTTGCCATTAGGCTTGAAAGTAGCGTCGAGTTCCATAGGTTGGGGCCAATGACTCTTTGTTTGTCTTCTCTTCTGAGTCCAGTGTTGACTAGGTGGTCCCCCTTTCTTCTCGAGTTGCCGTTCGTAGTGACGATTGTCGATCTTCTAAGCCAATTCAATCATCTCTCTAAGGTCATCTAGTTTGTCAGACCTTGAGATTTCGTCCTTCACATGGTCTTTCAGACCTGCGTAGAATTGGTCACAGATAGCCTCGTCTCCGCAGTTGGTGAGTGTTGCATGCTGTTGAAACTCAGCGGTGTATGCAACTGCTGATCCTCTCTGTTTGAGAGCCTGGAGTGCCCTGACTGCATTCTGTCATTCATCGATGTCTCTGAAGTTTGCCTTGAGCGTTTTGAGGAATCTGTTCCAGGATACAAAAATTTCCTTCGTTCCTTGACTAGCTAAGGTGTTGCATTTTTCGTCGGGTGTTCGATGGTTCATGTAGTCGGCGAGGTAGTTAGAGATCCATTCTGAGGCTGGTCCTCGAAAGAGTGCCACAGCCCATAGGACCTGTTTGTAATGGTGGGTGCACCAGATGTGAGAATCTAGCCACCCAAGGAAGGGATGAATTTACTAAGACAACACACTGTCTTAGGAAAAAGAGCCAAAGGGTCGTAGCTTAGACTATTCCACAACGCAGCAATCAGGTGTGTGATGTAGTGAAGTGGTTCAGACAAGTTGCAACAAATGTTGAGTCTGGGAACTCAGGGGTAAGTCAGAGGTTAACACCTCACTGACTTTTCAGAAACAAGGAGTAACAAGATGAATGCTTGGAAGCTTGGAAAAGACGTGGAAGTATGTGATAGTCGATTTACTGTATTGCCTGCTTGCCCTTTCTTAAGGAAAGGGCAATCCTATTTATGCCAAAGGAGTGTAGTTCTCTCATTTTCCAAGACTTTCCATGATTACCAGGCTTGGTAACTGTAGTCGACGTAAGAGAATCCCATAGAACCATCTCTTAGGTTCGTAGCCTATAGGAAGTAAAAGGAGGTCCAAGGTCAGAGTACCCCTATAGACAAATTATGTCATAGACAAATTATGTCATAGACAAATTATGTCATAACTTAACCAATCTTGTGGGTAACTAAAGAGCGATGACATGTAATGAATCATAGAGTTTCGTAGGAGCTTTTAGAGCTATCGTTCATGCTCCTAGGCCTCTAGTTGGTAGAGATATGTCATGTGGTAGTATGAGTGATGTCATGTAATGAATCATAGAGGGTTGTAGAGATATGCTATGTGGTAATATCGGCCCAGTAACTAAGGAGCGATGACGTGTAATGAATCATAGATGGTTGTAGCAATCGTTGAGTAGTATTGCTCTTGTTGTTGGTGTGATAAGCCAAAATATGTATAGTGACTTGTAGGTTTGAGGAGGAGATTTCCAAGTTTGCTCTTGAGTTTGATAGCAAACTGAGTGCAACGAATGTCAGTATGACACTGTTCCACTTCTTTGTTGAAGTGTTTGGCGTTAAACGCCATCCATAGCTCTGTCTGGATGATGAAACTCTTGAGCTTCTTGCGATCCCCATGAAAGGTGTCTGGGAATGCAATCTTCAACTTGTCCGAAGGGTGAGCCTGTGGGGCTTCGATGGTAGGTTCAGTAGCAACCTTCCCCTTCGATCCAACGATTGATCCAGTATTGTCTCCAGCCATGTTGCTTTGTGTGTAAGCTGGTACCTCGTATAAGTGGTGCTCAAAGTGTAACGCTGACTTGTAAACGATAGAAGACACAGAGGTTTCTTGCGTAAGGTTGACTTGACAGAGGAGGCAGGGGATTAGACACAAAGGCTTTCCAAGTAACACGTTACAGTATTGTAAAGAATACTATATTGAGTTGAGCACGAAGCTTCTATCTAAGGAAATACTATCTACTTATATAGTGGCGTCGTGCCTCATGGGTAATCTGGATAGTTGGCGGATAGCTAGATATTCAGGATAGTTCGTGAATAGCTCAACTATCCAATATCCACTAGTTTCTGCAACTATCCATTAGCCCCGTCACATGGCAGCCTACCCCGCTTGCCCCCTTGTGACTCACACGTCACGTTACTAGGCCCTGTTCCTGTAACCATGATGTCACATTACCGTAGCCGTAACACGAAACTCCTAACTAAGAAAATACTATCTACTTATATAGTGGTGTCGTGCCTTACTGATCCTGTCTAGTCTATAGACTATGTAGTATCAGTTGTGTCCTGTGACCTCCTCGTAACTCACAGATCCTGTCTGATCTATAGACTATGTAGGATCAGTCATGTGGTCCTAGTCTCATGACTGTTTCATGACTCATACATGACCCATGACCGTAGCCTTTCCTAACTCACATATTCCTTGACTTAGCACTGAAGTTAGGGTGAGCTGTAACAACTGTGAGGAACTGTAGGAACTGTGTGAGTTCTAACAGTTCCTATAGGTCCACCCTAAGGAACTGTAGGAACTGTACAACTTCCAACAGTTCTCACAGTTCCATTCTAAGGATCACGTGGGGTCCTGTGGTGTGACTCACTTGGCTAGTAGTTCTCCTAAGAGCCTTCCTGCCCCTAGAGGTAGCCTTAGAGGCAGTTAGGAGAAGGGAAATTTTATGCCGCTTAGGTTCCTGAACCTCCTCTAACTTGTCTAAGGATTTTAGACCATGACATAGCATCTTAACACTTTGGGTTTCAAGAGCTTTGTGCTGTTTGCGAAGATGCATGTAACAGGCATATACTTCTTAAGCGCAGAGGTGAGCCTCATGTTCCTAAGATGCTGCCGCTTCCTCTTTGGCCTTAAGACACTCTTCCTCTTTACAAAGCTTCTCCTAATCAGTAGGAGAAGGGGCGTAAGCATTGCATTTGGAATTGCAACAAGTAGATTTGCTATAATGATGATTACTAGCAACAATGATACAAGATCATTTGTTCTGAAGACAGCTAGAACATAGCGACATTAGGTTGCTGTTCTTTTCGAGCAATTAAGTAGGAATTACCCTACTTAAGTAACTAGTGATTTCCTTAATGCAAGACCTAAGAGTCCTTTAGGAGGGGGACCTAGTGTTACGGCTACTATAATGTGACATTAGTTATAGGGCTATTAGGGCTAGGCTCTAATAATGTGACTTATAAGTCACAAGGCTAGCGGGGCTAGGCTGTAGCATGACTAGGCTAGTGGATAGTTGCAGAAACTAGTGGATATTTAATAGTTAAGCTATCTATCAACTATCTAGACTATCTATAAGGCATGACACCACTATATAAGTAGATAGTATTCCCTTAGATAGGAGCTTCATGCTCAACTTAATATAGTATTCTTTACAATACTATAATGTGTTACTTAGAAAGCCTTTGTGTTTAATCCCCTGCCTCCTCTGTCAAGTCAACCTTACGTAAGAAACCTCTATGTCTTCTATCATTTAGAAGTTAGCGTTATACAACAGGTAAGTTATTAGAGACGAAATCAATAGAAGATTATCAACAGCTTTGTGATGAAATCATTAGTAAGTTTTGTATATAACGTGCATGTATAACGAAAGTGCCAAACAAGCGAAAGTGCCAAAATATCGCGACTACCCCATAAGAATTGCAATAAATCCACCACAACAATATAAATTAATTAAAACTACTCGGAGTCCTCTTCCTCAGAGGTGTCTATTACAATCTGACACGTGCGCGCATTGTGCCCAGTCTCACCACACTTGACACAGCGACGTGCATGGGTTTCTTCCCTTGGCTTCCGACCACTACTTGCCCTTATTTCTTGCTCTACTTGCTGCACAACGTCCCTCTCGTCCTGTAGCTCCTGTGCTACCTGTTGACTAAGTGATCCTCCTTGCTGTAGTCATGTTTTTTTAGCTCTCCGGCGCTTGCTTAGCACTTCATTTGCCTGTCGCAGGTTTTGGTTCTCTGCTTTTAACAATGCTAATTGATGCATTATTTGCGATGCACCCTTTGTAAACTGGTCAACAGCTGCATAGATTGAGGTTGGAGAGCTATTTTGATGATGCGCAATTCGGTTTTTAATGAAAGTAGACTGTGATACAGCTTCAGTTGGGTTATTTGGTGTCTGAGAAACCCATGGTTGAGCGGTGTTTGGGTGAGAGGTTGGAGGTGTTGGCGTCTTAAACCTAAGGTCAAGTGTAGATATTACACTCTCAGGGCTAAATGGAAGAAGCCCAGCACCTCGGAACCCTCCCTGAATATTGCTTTCTGTCATTGCAATGTTAAATGCAGCGTGGAAGGTAGGAAAGAAGTCATCCTTAGTAATGTGAATAATATGAGCCCGCATCATATCTTCAATTTGCCGACCGTAAGCTCTCTTTAATGGGCCAAAACAGCCAACATCAAGTGGTTGGAGTATATGGGAAGAGTGAGCAGGCATACAAAGCGTAATAATATTGTGTTCTTTGCAGTACTCCTCAAACTTGTCTGAGTGGTGGCTCTCATGACCATCAAGGACTAACAAGTGATAACCACCAACACTCCGGTGCTTTGTGTGCTTCTCAAAATGCTGAATCCAATCCATACCTCTCTCGTTTGTAGTCCAGCCATTTGCAGTAACAGCGATTACCCAATCTGCTGGAAATCCGCTATTCTCATACCAAGATGCAAGGTGGTTTTTACCTGCCACAATGACAAATGGCGGCACTGCCCAACCTTGAGAACTAACGCCTTGGATTACTGTAACCCATTCCCGATTGCCAGGCTGCACCTTTTTTGCCTTTGCCCGCCCATATGAGCTCATTACTACCGTTGCGCTTGAGATGACGCCCATCATAAACCCAGTCTCATCAAAGTTGTAGATATCTGCATTGTTGATGCCATACTTTAGAATTGTGTTCCATACAAGCTCAAACCAGCCACGAATGACTTCTGGATCTTCGCACTTAGCCCTCTGGTAGTCGTATTTTCGCTGGAAGCGTGTCCGGAGCTCTACATGGCGCTTAACAAAGTTTGAAGCCCAACGTGACCCGACGCGTGGCGCGTCGCGTGTTGCAAGTAGTCGATTTGCCATATCTTCAACAATAGACAACTGAGGAGGGAACCCTTTAGCAGCTAAGTCAAGTATATACTGAACAAGAACTGATTCCTCTAGGTTACTTAATTTCTGTAAGTTGGCTTGGATATCGCGTCGTGAAGGTACGGCTTGTAAATGGTGACGTAGCTTGCGGTGGTCTACGGAATAGATCCTAGCTGCAACTTGAAGGCGCAAATTTGGGTCGCTTTGCATAGCTTGGATAGCTAGCACTAATTTGCTTTCATAATTTTTATGGCGCATGTTTTGTTGTGGAGGAATTTAACATTTAGTTGGGGGGGTTGGTCACCGCATGATTTTGGCACTTTCGCTTGTTTGGCACTTTCGTTATACATGCACGTTATTTATAATGCATTACTAATGTATTAGCATCTCTAAATGCAACTCTAGCTATTCCATAATTGGCAACTCATAAAAAAAACTCCCTATTATTGCAGCTGGATTAAATTGCTACTGTTCTAAGATAGATCTAGCTCTTTTTGAGCGTACTTAACATACAAATGCAGTTGAACAAACTCATTTTAAAACAGGGTCCTTTGGTAAAAGCTTACATTATTAAAGGCAGTTAAGATGTAAGTTTATAATATATTCGTAATGTATTACTAATGTATTATAGGGGTGAAATTGTTGATAAATGAGATATTAATCAATACCTAGCTAAGGTCTAACATGGAGTTCATACTTCATGGCATGCAGGGGCTTTGTCAGCATGCTTTAGGCTTGGTGATAAGTAAGTTAGGAAGTTAACGTACATGTATAGCGAAAGCGCCAAACAAGCGAAAGCGCCAAAATGATGCGGTGACCAAACCCCCCAACTAAATGTTAAATTCCTCAACAACAAAACATGCCCCATAAAAACGATGAAAGCCAATTAGTGCTAGCTATACAGGCTATGCAAAGCGACCCAAAGTTACGCCTTCGAGTTGCTGCTAGGATCTATTCTGTGGACCACCGCAAGCTAGGTCATCGTCTAGAAGGTGTACCTTCACGACGCGATATCCAAGCCAACTCATGGAAATTAACTAACCTAGAGGAGTCCGTCCTTGTTCAGTATATACTCGACCTAGCTGCCAAAGGGTTTCCTCCTCGGCTGTCTGTTGTTGAAGATATGGCAAGTCGACTACTTGCAACACGCGACGCGTCACGCGTTGGGTCGCGTTGGGCTTCAAACTTTGTTAAGCGGCATGTAGAGCTCCAGACACGCTTTCAGCGCAAATACGACTACCAGAGGGCTAAGTGCGAAGATCCAGAAGTTATTAATGGCTGGTTTGAGCTTGTGCGTAACACAATTGCAAAATATGGTATCGATGAAGCAGATATCTACAACTTTGATGAGACTGGGTTTATGATGGGCGTTATCTCAACTGCTATGGTTGTAACAAGCTCAGACGGGCGGGCAAAAGCAAAGAAGGTACAGCCTGGTAATCGGGAATGGGTTACAGTAATCCAAGGCGTTAGTTCTCAAGGTTGGGCAGTACCACCATTTATCATTGTTGCAGGCAAAAACCACCTTACATCTTGGTATGAGAATAGTGGATTTTCAAGCGATTGGGTGATTTCTGTTACTGAAAATGGCTGGACTACAAACGAGAGAGGCATGGATTGGATTCAGCACTTTGAGAAGCATACAAAGGCCCAGAGTGTTGGTGGTTATCGCTTGTTAGTCCTTGATGGTCATGAGAGCCACCACTCAGATGAGTTTGAGGAGTACTGCAAGGAACACAACATTATTACGCTTTGTATGCCTGCTCACTCTTCTCATCTACTCCAGCCACTTGATGTTGGCTGTTTCGGCCCGTTAAAGCAGGCCTATGGTCGGCAAATTGAAGATATGATGCAGGCTCATATTTCTCATATTACAAAGGATGACTTCTTTCCTGCCTTCCACGCTGCATTTAACACTACAATGACGGAAAGTAACATTCGAGGCGGGTTTCGAGGGGCAGGGCTTCTTCCATTTGACCCTGAGAGAGTGATATCTACACTTGATCTTAAGTTAAGGACACCAACGCCTCCAAGCTCCCGCCCAGGTACTGCTCAACCTTGGGTTTCTCAGACACCAAACAACCCAATTGAAGCTATGTCACAGTCTACATTTATTAAAACTCGGATTTCACGCCATCAAAATAGCTCTCCAACCTCAATCTATGCAGCTGTTAACCAGTTTACAAAGGGTGCATCGCAAATAATGCATCAATTAGCACTGCTAAAGGGAGAGAACCAAAACCTACGACAGGCAAATGAAGTACTAAGCAAGCGCCGGAGAGCTAGGAAAACACGACTACAGCAAGGAGGATCACTTAGTCAACAAGGGGCGCAAGAGCACAGGATGAGAGGGATGTTGTGCAGCAGGTAGAGCAGGAAATAAGGGCAAGCCGTGGTCGGAAGCCAAGGGAAGAAACCCGTGCCCGTCGCTGTGGCAAGTGTGGTGAGACTGGGCACAATGCGCGCACGTGTCAGATTGTAATAGACACCTCTGAGGAAGAGGACTCCGAGTAGTTTCAATTGATTTCTAATGTTGTGGTAGATTTATCGCAATGTTTGTCGTGAGGGTAGATAATTTTGGCGCTTTCGCTTGTTTGGCGCTTTCGCTATACATGTACGTTATATTAACTTTGAAATATGTTAATAATATATTAGGATCCCGAAAGCATCAGAGGACATCTACTTGAGGTGAAGACTTAGGTCTAAGTCTTACTTAACAAGACGAATTAGAGGTTCTATCACAAGCATCATCTTCTAGCTATTCTAGACCCTCGGCGTTCTAGTTCATGCCAAAGTAGGTGCCGTTTAAGCGAGCCTTGGCAATTCATCTTGAGTTTATCCTAGGGTTCCCCCTGACCTGTATCCTGCTCACGGTGGCTCGGTTAGTATAAAAGTAGGGTGATCGGTGATTCTGACCTAACCCTTGCATTCAGCCCGACCTACTACCTGCTAATAGCTTCGCCGATCACCCCACTTTTACACTAACTGAGCCTTGGCAATTTACCTTGAGTATATCCTAGGCGTAGAACCAAGCTTAGGGGCAGGATGGGCATGGGGTTGGGCAATTCCAGGGGCAAACGGAGTGCCCACCTTGGCCTACAAATAGATGGCGTAGGCCCGGTAGATAGCTCTTCAATCCAGTCTATTCCTACTGCCTATTACTGCCTACTGTAGTATACTATAATTACTCCTATTCCGGTGAAGCGTTACTGTACGCATCAAAAAGTTAGAACTCAGCTCGGCCAAGATCACGAGTTCCTTAATAGGCGCACGGCCGCATTTGCAATGATGCTTTTCAGAGCACTCCTGATGCTCTCCCTCCTGGTTCTTGGGGTGCTTGGGCTGAGGGTTCCTAGGTCGCCTGATAAGAGTAAGTTCTGTTAAATTCGTCAACAGGATTGATATCTAAATGATTCCAGAAGTGAATGATACGTTTCCTGATCTTTTGGATGCTGGTACCGATGATCTGATGAAAGGGCTGAAGCAGAAGCATTTCACCAGTGTTGATCTTGTCAAGGTACTAAATGATCCCCTGGTTCTTGGCAATATCTCTTGACTAACAACTCCAGGCTTACCTTAAACGCATCCAGGAAGTTCAGCCGCAACTCCATGCAGTCACGGAGATAAATCCAGATGCCATTTCTATTGCGCAGACTCTCGATGCTGAGAGGGCCCAGGGTAAACTTCGAAGCGCCCTTCATGGCCTCCCAATGCTAGTCAAGGACAACATCGCCACCAATGACAAGATGAACAACTCAGCCGGTTCCTTCGCCCTCCTTGGTGCAAAGGTTCCGCGGGATTCAACCGTGGTTGCTAAACTCAAAGCCGCTGGCGTCATCATCCTCGGCAAATCCAGCATGTCCGAGTGGGCCAACTTCCGTTCTGGCTCTGGGAATGCCTGCAACGGCTGGAGCGCCTATGGTGGGCAGGTGCTTGGTGCGTATGCTACGGGCCAAGACCCGAGCGGGAGCTCGAGTGGAAGCGCTGTCGGGGCGTCCCTTGGACTGGCCTTTGCGACGCTCGGGACCGAAACAGGCGGCAGCATCATCTCCCCCGGCAGCGTCAACAACGCCGTCGGAATCAAGCCGACTGTAGGCCTCACATCGCGCTCCCTTGTCATCCCCATCAGCGAGCGTCAGGACACCATCGGGCCCCTCGCTCGCACAGTCACCGACGCAGCCCATGTTCTCAACATCATCGCTGGTAAAGACCCTAGCGACTCGTACACCAACGCGCAGCCGTTCTCCCAACCCCCCAACTACACCAAATCCCTGAAAAAGAACAGCCTGAAGGGAAAGCGTATCGGCATCCCGCGTAACGCCTTTCTGCCCACCGGGGATTCCAACTTCGACGCACCCATCATGGCTGCCTTCGAGGCCGCCATCATGGAACTTAAAGCTGCTGGCGCAACCATCATCGACAACGCCAACTTCTCGCAGTGGGAGGAGTACTACAACTCCTCCGTCACCTCCTACGGCGCCGTCAAAACTGTCGTCGCCGTCGACTTCATCACCAACCTCCCGCAGTACTTCACCCAACTGACCACGAACCCAAACAACATCACCTCCCTCAGGGCGCTGCGCGACTTCACGCAGCACGACCCGCGCGAGAACTTCCCCACTCGCAACACTGATATCTTTGACGCAGCGCTAACTATAACCGGAGATAATACAGCGCCAGGCTTCCAGGCTTTGGCGAACCAGACACACGCGTGGGGGACGTCTGGCGGGGTGACGGGGGCGCTGGACACGTACCGGCTGGACGCGCTGGTGATGCCGAGCATGTACGCCCCATGGGTGCCGGCGCTGGCGGGCCTGCCGATAGTGACGGTCCCTATGGGAAAGTATCCCGCTGGGACGCAGGTGCAGCGGCTAGGAGCGTGTGGGTTGGTGGCGGTGGCTCCGAATGTGCCGATTGGGCTGTCTTTTTTGGGGGCGGCGTGGAGTGAGGAGGCGCTTATCGGGTGTGCATTTGCATATGAGCAACGCACGTTGGTGAGGGAGAAGGTGAGGCCGATTGTGGTGCCGAGGACGCAATTGGAGGATGTGGTGGATCAATAGCGGCATGGATGAGATGAGGACTTGGCTGGTAGCACAAAACCACACCTGCATTACATAGCTTGGTGTAGGAGATATAAAAGCGCAACATCCCCCACGCATATTCAAGGCTGCGTCTCTCGTCACCTTTCCCCGTCTGCAGCCACAAAAACTTAGGCACCTCTCCGGCTTGTTGCCAACACCACGTGCGATCAACCCCTTCGGTGCTGTGATGAAAGACTGATAAAAGATGTGCATTTATTGCACAGTTTGCGCTGTCGATCACAGTTCGCTGGACATCATGTTGTCACTCGGTCGGTGGCGGTCGGATTGGGGAAGCCGTGGATGGTGGGGGGATGGTCCGGGGGTCATAGAATGCAGGGATTCTCGGATTCTCTACCCACACGCTGCTCCCTGGCAACTTGGGCACAGACCCCAAGTCTGTGCGAATAGTGTCGCCGGTACAGCTGGTTAGCGGGGTAAGGCTGACACTTGTTGGAACTGCGTTCCGTATACCAATTGTGGATATATAGGGGCTTCGCCTCCCGTAGTTTCCCAATCAAGTCGTCAAACTCCAAATATGTGCTCAACAACACTGATAGGTGTTCTGGAGTAATGTCGCGCTGCAGCCAATTTCACGGCTGAGAAAGGCGGACTGTGTTTCTCTCTGTGATTCTGTGATTCTGTGCTTCTGTGCTTCTGTGCTTCTGTGCTTCTGTGCTTCTGTGCTTCTCTGTGAGAGTGTAAGAAGGCTTGTGGAATGGCCCCGTCTTAACAGATATCTGGCGAGGGTGTGGTGCAGAGATAGTAGGAGGTGATACTCTATCATGGCGCCATATTGAGATTCCCAAACCAGACCTATCGACGACGATGAGCGGGAAGCTAGTTGTCGCGGGGCTGTACAAGGCGCATGAATTTGCGCACAACCTTAGCCTCATCTAGGTATATGGGCGACGAGGCAACCACATCGCTTCAGTTCGACGGGCTCGGCGGGTTACACTGGTGCACGTCTGGAGTGTCGCCGCTCTTGTTGAAAACAGCCCTAGGCGCTTGGCACTAGAATCGCCGGCTTCACCGGCGATCACTAAACCGCTCCCCCGACATCGGTGCAAGGATATCAGAACCCTGTATCATATTAGTAAGATCTCTGTATTATATTAGGTTTAGTGGTTAGCATCAATGAAGCACGTGTCAGATTGCAACAGACATATCCAAGGAAGAGTACTCTGAGTAGTTTCAATTGATTTCTATTGTTGTGGTGGATTTATTGGAAATAAAGGAAAGATTTATTTCAAGTATACTATGTGACGGCAAGCGGGGCGCGGTTTTCAGTGTTCTGGCTCGCCTCAGTTTAGCGCCTCTACTGTCATACTGACATTCGTTGCACTCAGTTTGCTATCAAACTCAAGAGCAAACTTAGAAATCTCCTCCTCAACTACAAGTCACTATACATATTTTGGCATACTACTCAACGATTGCTACAACCCTCTATGATTCATTACACGTCATTGCTCCTTAGTTACTGGGCTGATATGACCACATAGCATATCTCTACAACCCTCTATGATTCATTACATGACATCACTCCTTAGTTACTGGGCTAATACTACACATGACATATCTCTATCAACTAGAGGCCTAGGAACATGAACGATAGCTCCAAAAGCTTCTACAACCATCTATGATTCATTACACGTCATCGCTCCTTAGTTACCTACAAGATTGGTTAAGTTATGACATAATCTGTCTATAGGGGTACTCTGACCTTGGACCTCCTTTCACTTCCTATAGGCTAGGAACCTAGGAGATGGTTCTATGGGATTCTCTTATATCGACTACAGTTACCAAGCCTGGTTAGTTATGGAAAGTCTTGGAAAATGAGAGAACTACACTCCTTTAGCATAAATAGGATTGCTATTTCCTTAAGAAAGGGCAAGCAGACAATACAGTAAATCGACTATCACATACTTCCATGTCTTTTCCAAGCTTCCAAGCATTGATCTTGTTACTCCTTGTTTCTGAAAAGTCAGTGAGGTGCTAACCTCTGACTTATCCCTGAGTTCTCAGACTTAACATTTGTTACAACTTGTCTAAACCACTCCACTACATCATACACTTGATTGCTGCATTGTGGAATAGTCTAAGCTACGACCCTTTGGCTCTGTTTCCTAAGACAGTGTGTTGTCTTAGTAAAATTAATCCCCTTCCTTGGGTGGCTAGATTCTCACATCTGGTGCACCCACCATTACACCTTGTCTGCTTCAAGCTTCAACTATTTCTATAGCAGCACTTCGATACTACAATGGATGACCAAGCTCCTACAACTACTGCTGAACAGCAGATGCAACAACTGTTTGCCTTTATACAAACTATAGCAAACAAACTTGAGAATTTGGAAAACACCTTTCAAGCCAACACTTCAGGAACACAATCTTCAACTCAGACACATCATACAGAGCTTCCCACAGCTCCTCTGGCTATGTCAGGTACCCCAGGTGCAATTCCTAAAGTGCAAACACCAGATTTATACCATGGAGACAGGAGGAAGTTGAAGGGATTTCTTATGCAACTGGACATCTACTTCACCCTCCGGCCTCATCAGTTCACCTCAGACATTCAGAAGATCTATTTTGCTGCCAGCTACCTCCATGGATCTGCATTCAACTTCTTTGAGCCATATCTTAGAAGACTTAGTAGCAATAACCAAAATACGACTTCACCTTTGATTACCTCTTATGACCAGTTTCAAGAGGAACTTACCAGGACCTTTGGAGACATCAACGAAACTGCTACAGCAGATAGAGAGCTACAGAAGCTACGTCAAAAGACCTCTGCTGCTCAGTATACAACAGAATTTAGGAGAATCATTTCTCACTTGACTTGGAATGAAGAAGCCTTAGTCTTCACTTACTACCAAGGGCTCAAGAGCTCTATTAAGGATAAACTCAGCAAAAAAGAACGCCCTACAACACTTCAAACACTTATAGAGAAAGCTGTCAGACTTGATGATAGGCTTTTTGAAAGAAGAAAGGAGAAGAACCAAGACTGGCATCCAACAAAAAATTTCAACAATTACACCTCTACACCAACTGCTAAGGACTCGGCACCTGAATCTGTGGACTTATACGCCTCTATAAAGAGATCTACAAAAAATCCAGCACCTCAGCCTACAAGAAACCCTCAAAAACTGAAAAGGGGTAAACTTACTCCTCATTAGCCCAGTAACTAAGGAGTGATGTCATGTAATGAATCATAGAGGGTTGTAGAGATGTGCTATGTGGTAATATCGGCCCAGTAACTAAGGAACGATGACATGTAATAAATTATAGAGGGTTGTAGCAATCGTTGAGTAGTATGTCGACATCCTCCAAGCCTCCAACATGTAATGGTGGGTGCACCAGATGTGAGAATCTAGTCTACCAGATTATTACCAGAATCATGTAGGTTAATATCTATAATAGGATCATATTCTCACACAAGAGACATTTTATGAACAAGTTCTATACACAGTTATCTCGACTCATAGCTCGTTCTGCTTAGTCGAGGATACTAAATGGAAAAGGCTTGCTATCTTACAGAATCCTCACTATCCACTACCCTCAGCAACAACTATTCGAAACCTCTTAACAACAAAGCTCACACAAATTGAAGAAGAGATGCCAGAAGATGTTGTTCCTGGTTCAAAGATTGCATTATCGCTCGACTGTTGGTTAAGTGTTACTCGACTTTCGTTTATGGGTGTTATTGCACCGTTTATCGACCGTCATTGGAAAATGCAAGAGGTCTTGATTGGCTTTGAACCTATATATACAGAGCATACTGGTGCTGAGTTATGTGGAATACTTGAAAAAGTTATCACAAGGCAGCATTTAGAAGGACGAATTATATCCATTACGACTGATAATGCGTCAAATAACACTTCGGTGATGAGAGATGTGGAAATAATGCTCAATAGTATTGCGGACAATGAGCATTTTATTGGAGGAAAGTTACAACACATACCCTGCCTAGCTCACGTATTCAACTTGCCCTTAGTGCTCTCCTTGGCCGAATCCGGATTACACCAACAAATCAAGAGATCTTAATGAACTGGGAAGAAGAGAACCAGATGGAGGGCCTTGCAAAGTTACAAAAAGACAAGGATATCGGATTTACACTTGGAAAGGTATATATTCTCTTGTTAGTTCTGGTAATCTTCTGGTAGCTTTTTCTAATATCTCATAGCTCCGGAAGCTCTTGTTAATTCAAGTCATACTCAAAGGAACAGGTTTATGACTTTGCAAAAGGCAAACATGAACTGGGTCAACCATCTCAGAGACTTCTTCGACTTATTCAAGATGTATCAACTCGATGGGATTGTTACTCCTTGTTTCTGAAAAGTCAGTGAGGTGCTAACCTCTAACTTATCCCTGAGTTCTCAGACTCAACATTTGTTACAACTTGTCTACACCACTCCACTACATCATACACCTGATTGCTGCATTGTGGAATAATCTAAGCTATGACCCTTTGGCTCTTTTTCCTAAGACAGTGTGTTGTCTTAGTAAAATCATCCCTTCCTTGGATGGCTAGATTCTCACATCTGGTGCACCCACCATTACAGTATCCTCACCAGTTAACACGTTGATTAGTGGATGACTGAAGACCCTCAAAGCTCCATTTCCGCCATCAAATCTGATAAGTACCACAGCGACTGAATAAATAGATATACAATTAAGCCAGTTTCTGTTTAATAATTAGTCTGTCTTAACTTTTAACTAGGCTTGTATTTTAACATAATACTATGTAATAAACAAGATAGACTTGCTTAAATGTATTTCATATACAAAATTTTGTATATTCAATAAATTTCTGTACTATACCAAAAACTTTAGCTTTAACACTTTGCAAATTACCCCTATTCAACCACCACTTTCGTTATAAAATATCTTTGCGACGTAGCTACTATATTGTGTAAAAATAAAGGAGGTTATAGTAATATAACCTAATGTCGGATACCGAAGAGCTAGAGTTGATTGCTCTTACTGTTTGCACAGCAGCCTTACTTGTTCGACGTCATCGCCGGCGCCGATATTATCGGTGGCTTATATGGTCTTTACATATAACTCAACGCCCACAAGCCCGGATTACATACGAATATGAGAAGTTCAACTGGAATCTACAATCGTGGGGTAGTCAAACTCCAGGGCGGGTAGTTCACAAGTTCTGGTAAGTAATTGAATAGGGGTTGAGGTTTGGGGTATAGGTTCTTATACTATTAAGGTTTTCAATCGAGGAAATCGCCCGCTTGTGCCACTTCTTCAGCTTTATAAAATTGAATAGAGAGACCGGGTAAAGCCAGACTTAGAGACTGCTCTTTGTGTAGTCCTAACTTGCCTTGC